CCCAGATGGTCAGTAACTATAGTGCCGTCACTGACAGCACTGTTGCTAGCATTCCCCTCAGACACTGGCACCCAGTTTTTCCTGTGGTGAGAGTTTTACTGTGAAATGAGCTTGCATCCAGCCTCAGCCCAGCTCTCTGGAGCTTGGTCTGTCTTCTTCCTTTTCCCTCACTGGTAAATTCAGTTACGAACATCTATCGGATCCTTTATATCAGTTTGATGTGCAAAAATCATAATGTTTTATGGCTGCCAGGTACATGGGCTGCTTTTGCCTGCCTTTCCTTGTTTTTCAGATTGTTACCTATTACTCCACTCTGATCCTTCTTTTCTCTTCCCAGTCACTTTCTTTTTCTTTCTGCTCTCTTTACACCTTTTTTTCTCCCCTTATATCCTTTCAGTTTGTCTCACTTAAAGTATTCTGCCCAGAAAAATGGCTTCCATTGCTTCTTGTTCATCTTGCCAAAGAGAGCACAGTCCCTGCATACTGTCTGAACAGGGGTAATCCCAGACACACAGATGTTGCATAGAAATCTCTATTGAAGCTCAGATCTTGGCAAGTCCTTGAAGCAAAACAAATGGCAGTGGCAGTGGGGAAAATCATATTTTGCCTCATTTTTTGATTCATCAGTGACCTCCTTCTAGCCCATCTTCCTTAGATTCTGAATTTGTACAACAGATACAAGAACTGCATCCGGAAAGTCCACTACAGTGTACTCTGGAGCAGGCCAGCTCTCATGCTGTCTCCTACATCTTTGAGTCTACTCTCAGTTTATATACCTGTCAGCTCTCTTAGGCAAAATGAAGGCCATCCAGTTGCAGATCTAAAAGTAGGTGGCTTCTTGTCTCCCAACACACTTACTGCAGTGCAGCTGTGCGTGCACAATACGCCTGTCCTGTCGTGGATGCAGTGGGCTCTCTGCACTTACGGCATAGAGTTTTTCTGTTCACATGCAGTAGCGATCTCATCATGATTTATGATCAAATTACGATCAGGTCTTTGACTTTTGAAGTCTGTAATGCTTGCCCAGTTCTCTGCCTAGAACACAATCTGGACAGTGGTGTTCAGAAAAGGGGCAGTTTTCACACTGTGTTTAGAAATGTCCTTTGAGAAACTCAGGTACAGATTTTAGTTAACTACCTGTGCACCCGGAAATAGTAGTTGGCTCCCAGGTGTCCAGATAGGTGTAATACACAGAAAGTTGTTAAAAGTGTTGTTGCAAGATGTAATTATCCATTCCAGTCTGGGCAGTTACATCATGCCAACAAAAATTGCTCCCATTCAGGGGCTAAAAACATTCTTTACTTTCTCTTCTTAGGTGTGCTCTGCTCTGATGGCTGTGTATTTCCTTCCTGCTAGATGTGACTGATGGCTGCTGTGTATTTCCTTCCTGCTAGATGTGACTACGTTTCGTGAATGATCAAGAGAATTCTGGCTGAAAGATGGAGGAAATTTGGCAAATCTGATGTCCTTTAAAAGCAACTACCGTACAAGGCACACATGGTAGGAGTTGGCTGACGGTAATCCGGCTGCCTTTGTAGACAGCCATTGAAGTCAATTTTTGGCAAGGATTTAGGCAGCTGAGCTGTTGCCACATGTGTTTTATAGGTACTGTGCTTTACTTTGACGTGTAAGGGCGCCACGTGACGTTTTTTTTTCTTCAGATACACTTTCTGCAATGAAGACTATGTCTCAGCCAGGAAATGCATTAGAGAATTCCTTGTTCTGCATACGCTCCATATATGCTTATATAGGGCTCCAAGAAATATTCATAGTACAAAGCTAATGCTGCATTTGCATTTCACTCAATTAAAATGCTAGATTAGATCATAAATGTGAAAATGAGTTTGATTTTATCAGGTATGATAGTCCATCTCTTTGTTCTCTTTTCCCCAGAGCGCACATGCACATGCGTACAAACACACACACACACACACACACACACACACTCTGTTTGTTACAATTCAGTACAGCTGGTAATTTTCAGTTCACCAGAAGCTCAGAATAGCAGAGAAATTGTTCAGTCAGGCTTGATGTGGAGAACAAGTGTTTGCACACACTCCTTGCTCTCTTTCGAGGGGCAAAACAAAAGAGGTTTCAAAAAGGAATGTTAAAGAGAACAAGGTCAACACATTTGCCTGTTCCTTTTAATAGTTATTAGTGATGTGCGGGGTCTGCCATGGCTTGGCTGAGCTGTGAAGCAGGAGTGTAGGCGCTGCATCGCTTTAACTGAAAAGGAGCAAAATAGGTAGCATTTCACTGCTGGGACTCTTCTGCTCTGAACAGGAAGAGACTACACACACCACAAGAGTTCCTGGTGGCGTTTGTATTAATGGTGAGGGAGGGGTAAATGAAATCTTGATGGGACTAAAAAGGAGGGACGCTCCCACGTGACTCCCTCATGTTCATCTTACATACTCCTCCATGGTTTTGTTGCCTATGAATTACATCTTCTGGTGCCTCCAGTTATCAGCATATACAATTTTAATACTTCTTGTTTCTTATACTTCACTATAATAGGCAGTGGAATGTCAAAACCCAAATAGTACCTTTCATACCTTGGGGGCAGGCAGACTATACATGCAGAGTTTTAACCTAGAATTTTCTCTTTTGTGCTTTAGGTAATGTAAAAATGTACCATATAAACGAGGCAGTATTTTGACTGCAGGAATGACTTTATGGCTATCCTGCTTTTACCGTGTGACTTGTGTACATCCTCAGATCTCCAAATCTTTTCTGGAGATTTCACCATTGCTGCATTGTTTCTGTGTAGCATACACCTTGGCCAATTAAAGCAGAAGACAGTTTTGCTTGAGTAAATTATTCAGCATGAAATATATTCCATTAAGTACTGTCGTTCCAGCTGAATTGGGGTTGGTCTAAACTAACTTAGGCTGTACTGAAGATAGGTGGGTTGGTGCAGTTATTCATTTGCACAAAATTCACTTATTTTTTATTCTTTGAGAACACTCACCTGCAACCTATAAATGAATAACACTCGTATTGAACTGTTTGTTTGCTATAGGTTGTTCTCTGATGAGTAGTTCATCTGAACACACAGAGCTGCTCATGAAACGTTTGCTTTGCCTGTTGGAGAATCATTTGTAGCTTGCCTTTCTATGTGACTGTTTTACAAATAATTTAAGCCAGGATAAAACTTTTAAATGAGGAAAATATTAAATAATGAATGAAAAAAATTCAGCAAATAAGAAATTATTCTGTTTGTGAACATTACCTTTGTTCACACAAGAAATTAAGTGCGAACTGTTTGAGTGCTACTTAGTAGTCATCAGAAAAAGAAGAATAGATAGGCATAAATGGTCCTATAAGAGACCATTTTTTAGATTGTTTCTGAGTGCAGCAACAGCTACCCAACTGCTGCACAGATACGCATCAATGCTGATCTATTCTTGTCCTAATACTGTTAATGGGTAATCTACATCACCAAGGGACACTGATAACAGGGATTAGGAGCTGTCTTGTGTAATTCCAGTGCATTCATCTGGACGAAAATGTGAGTGCAGTGTTAGTCCATTTGGCAGATACAGGTTGGAAAATAATAATAGGAGCAAGGGTTAACTAGTTATCTAGAACAATGTAAAGCATTATAAAGCTCTCTGTAAAGAGCAGTGCTTACAAGTAGCAATAAGAAGATGGGACTTTCTTGATGAAACTGCCACTAAAATCCTATGCAGTCTCCACACACCAAAAAGTTTGGCATTAGGAAAGAATTCAGAAAAGAGATACAAGTCTGTAAAACCTCTGTAAATGCGAGTGCTGCTGTATGTTATTTAATCTCTATAAAAGGAGCTTAAAAGAAGACTCACTTATGGCATAAAAGAGACATCCTGAACACTGAAGAAAGTGGCAGAAATTAAATTTATAGAAAGTAAATGTAAATAAAACCCAGCTAGAAATGATGTGCCTGCTTTTTGGTGTGGTTGTTTAACCCCTGGAAACTATACCTAGACAAGAGCTTACCTCCTGTTACCTGAAGTATGTAGGCCAATAGTGGGTGTGTTACAAAAACTGTATTCCATCTCCACCAGGAATTATGCAGTTTCAGCTTTTGGCCCAAATATGCTGGGAATCAAGAGAGCTCAAAGACCCAGCTACAGGATGGAAAAATATTTCAAATAACTGAAAAACATAAAACTGAAAATACTAGTTATGGACCAGAGCAAATGTATTTTTTGAGGTGAAGTTAGTTTCTTCTACAGTCTATTACCTACGCCCATCTCCTTTGACTCTTCCTTCTTTTACAATCATTCTTCCTTTCCTCCCTTCCTCCCTGCCTTTCTTTTCTCCTTCCTTCCCTCCTTCCTTCCTTTCCTCAGGACTTTTGACATTAGCACAAATGAAAGCGAGATTGTAGTTATCTCTATATTTTACATTCCTAAGAAAATGCATATAATGGAAAGAAAGAGTTATTCTTTAGTTTAATCCATTAAAAAGCCAGAAGAGAAAAGATGCATTGAAAGCACAGTCGTATTCATTATATTTTGGAAGTAAAAATGGCTGATACCCAAATCATAAGGAAGCAGGTATGGGCTTGAGGTCTGCAAAGGTAAAAAAGGTACGCTCAAACCTAGATGGCCCAGCAAGCTAGCATGATTATGACATGACTGTCTATAGCTGATGGCACCCCAGGCTGACTCCTTCCTCCACTTCAAATGGCCGGATACCCATGTAGGACTGAATCAGTTGGAAGCAACTTTGGTACAAGGCTAGGAAGAACCTTGAATTCACATCTCTGGACCACTGTAACTTCTCTGCTGCTTAACTTAAAATATGTGTGTAGAATCCACTGGTGTATGATAAAATCCTTTGGTTGATTTGTGCTCTAGGTGTGAGAGTGACTCCTCACATGTGGACCATCCATTCCTAGGACACATCAGCCTAGCATTTATAAAGGAAATATCACGGTGCCTAAGCTCAGTGGGTGTGTTCAGAAAAATCCCTCCATGTTTTGTGTCCTTTTTCAGAGTACTAGATGCAAATACAAATCTTCCCTTTACCCTTTCAGCTGATGGTTGGTACACCTACTGTCCTCCTTCCTACCAATATGGTGCTGCAGCCTCCAAGTTTCCTCCAGGAAAATATTTTCCCACAGAAGCAGAAAATTTAGTCAGTTATCAGTAGCAGGAACATGGCTTGTTTTCGTAGCCTCTGTATCACAAAAAGAGCAAAGAAGAGAAGAGAACTGACCCACAGAGTTGAGAGAGAGAATTTAATGCACCAGCATAAGTATGCATTTCCTCAGGCACTCAGATGTATTAACATACATATATACAATATATATATTCTCTGGGCTGCCCTGGTCAGAGGGAGTTGGGGCTTTTGTTTCAGGTGGCTCCTGATTGGGTGGGTCAAGCACCCTTGTGAGTCACTGCTAGGCAGAGTCCTATATAAGAGCCAGGCCTAGAGCGCAGCTCCCAGAGCGCAGCCAACAGAGGCAGCGAACAGACGCAGCAGTTTGCGCAGCAGTGTCTGGGCTCTGCCTGGGCCTTTTGTGGGCCTTGTTGGAAGTTGTGGAGACTTTCTGGGGACCCCCGAGGAACTAGACGGTGCTTGCTGCTAGCAGGAAGGGAGAGCTGGGCAAGGACTCCTGCAGGGGACCTTGACTTAACTTCTCCTGGGAAGTTCTAGCTAGGTGGGGCTGCTGCTAACGAGCTCTCTGGGCTGCCCTGGTCAGAGGGAGTTGGGGCTTTTGTTTCAGGTGGCTCCTGATTGGGTGGGTCAAGCACCCTTGTGAGTCACTGCTAGGCAGAGGCCTATATAAGAGCCAGGCCTAGAGCGCAGCTCCCAGAGCGCAGCCAACAGAGGCAGCGAACAGACGCAGCAGTTTGCGCAGCAGTGTCTGGGCTCTGCCTGGGCCTTTTGTGGGCCTTGTTGGAAGTTGTGGAGACTTTCTGGGGACCCCCGAGGAACTAGACGGTGCTTGCTGCTAGCAGGAAGGGAGAGCTGGGCAAGGACTCCTGCAGGGGACCTTGACTTAACTTCTCCTGGGAAGTTCTAGCTAGGTGGGGCTGCTGCTAACGAGCTCTCTGGGCTGCCCTGGTCAGAGGGAGTTGGGGCTTTTGTTTCAGGTGGCTCCTGATTGGGTGGGTCAAGCACCCTTGTGAGTCACTGCTAGGCAGAGGCCTATATAAGAGCCAGGCCTAGAGCGCAGCTCCCAGAGCGCAGCCAACAGAGGCAGCGAACAGACGCAGCAGTTTGCGCAGCAGTGTCTGGGCTCTGCCTGGGCCTTTTGTGGGCCTTGTTGGAAGTTGTGGAGACTTTCTGGGGACCCCCGAGGAACTAGACGGTGCTTGCTGCTAGCAGGAAGGGAGAGCTGGGCAAGGACTCCTGCAGGGGACCTTGACTTAACTTCTCCTGGGAAGTTCTAGCTAGGTGGGGCTGCTGCTAACGAGCTCTCTGGGCTGCCCTGGTCAGAGGGAGTTGGGGCTTTTGTTTCAGGTGGCTCCTGATTGGGTGGGTCAAGCACCCTTGTGAGTCACTGCTAGGCAGAGGCCTATATAAGAGCCAGGCCTAGAGCGCAGCTCCCAGAGCGCAGCCAACAGAGGCAGCGAACAGACGCAGCAGTTTGCGCAGCAGTGTCTGGGCTCTGCCTGGGCCTTTTGTGGGCCTTGTTGGAAGTTGTGGAGACTTTCTGGGGACCCCCGAGGAACTAGACGGTGCTTGCTGCTAGCAGGAAGGGAGAGCTGGGCAAGGACTCCTGCAGGGGACCTTGACTTAACTTCTCCTGGGAAGTTCTAGCTAGGTGGGGCTGCTGCTAACGAGCTCTCTGGGCTGCCCTGGTCAGAGGGAGTTGGGGCTTTTGTTTCAGGTGGCTCCTGATTGGGTGGGTCAAGCACCCTTGTGAGTCACTGCTAGGCAGAGGCCTATATAAGAGCCAGGCCTAGAGCGCAGCTCCCAGAGCGCAGCCAACAGAGGCAGCGAACAGACGCAGCAGTTTGCGCAGCAGTGTCTGGGCTCTGCCTGGGCCTTTTGTGGGCCTTGTTGGAAGTTGTGGAGACTTTCTGGGGACCCCCGAGGAACTAGACGGTGCTTGCTGCTAGCAGGAAGGGAGAGCTGGGCAAGGACTCCTGCAGGGGACCTTGACTTAACTTCTCCTGGGAAGTTCTAGCTAGGTGGGGCTGCTGCTAACGAGCTCTCTGGGCTGCCCTGGTCAGAGGGAGTTGGGGCTTTTGTTTCAGGTGGCTCCTGATTGGGTGGGTCAAGCACCCTTGTGAGTCACTGCTAGGCAGAGGCCTATATAAGAGCCAGGCCTAGAGCGCAGCTCCCAGAGCGCAGCCAACAGAGGCAGCGAACAGACGCAGCAGTTTGCGCAGCAGTGTCTGGGCTCTGCCTGGGCCTTTTGTGGGCCTTGTTGGAAGTTGTGGAGACTTTCTGGGGACCCCCGAGGAACTAGACGGTGCTTGCTGCTAGCAGGAAGGGAGAGCTGGGCAAGGACTCCTGCAGGGGACCTTGACTTAACTTCTCCTGGGAAGTTCTAGCTAGGTGGGGCTGCTGCTAACGAGCTCTCTGGGCTGCCCTGGTCAGAGGGAGTTGGGGCTTTTGTTTCAGGTGGCTCCTGATTGGGTGGGTCAAGCACCCTTGTGAGTCACTGCTAGGCAGAGGCCTATATAAGAGCCAGGCCTAGAGCGCAGCTCCCAGAGCGCAGCCAACAGAGGCAGCGAACAGACGCAGCAGTTTGCGCAGCAGTGTCTGGGCTCTGCCTGGGCCTTTTGTGGGCCTTGTTGGAAGTTGTGGAGACTTTCTGGGGACCCCCGAGGAACTAGACGGTGCTTGCTGCTAGCAGGAAGGGAGAGCTGGGCAAGGACTCCTGCAGGGGACCTTGACTTAACTTCTCCTGGGAAGTTCTAGCTAGGTGGGGCTGCTGCTAACGAGCTCTCTGGGCTGCCCTGGTCAGAGGGAGTTGGGGCTTTTGTTTCAGGTGGCTCCTGATTGGGTGGGTCAAGCACCCTTGTGAGTCACTGCTAGGCAGAGGCCTATATAAGAGCCAGGCCTAGAGCGCAGCTCCCAGAGCGCAGCCAACAGAGGCAGCGAACAGACGCAGCAGTTTGCGCAGCAGTGTCTGGGCTCTGCCTGGGCCTTTTGTGGGCCTTGTTGGAAGTTGTGGAGACTTTCTGGGGACCCCCGAGGAACTAGACGGTGCTTGCTGCTAGCAGGAAGGGAGAGCTGGGCAAGGACTCCTGCAGGGGACCTTGACTTAACTTCTCCTGGGAAGTTCTAGCTAGGTGGGGCTGCTGCTAACGAGCTCTCTGGGCTGCCCTGGTCAGAGGGAGTTGGGGCTTTTGTTTCAGGTGGCTCCTGATTGGGTGGGTCAAGCACCCTTGTGAGTCACTGCTAGGCAGAGGCCTATATAAGAGCCAGGCCTAGAGCGCAGCTCCCAGAGCGCAGCCAACAGAGGCAGCGAACAGACGCAGCAGTTTGCGCAGCAGTGTCTGGGCTCTGCCTGGGCCTTTTGTGGGCCTTGTTGGAAGTTGTGGAGACTTTCTGGGGACCCCCGAGGAACTAGACGGTGCTTGCTGCTAGCAGGAAGGGAGAGCTGGGCAAGGACTCCTGCAGGGGACCTTGACTTAACTTCTCCTGGGAAGTTCTAGCTAGGTGGGGCTGCTGCTAACGAGCTCTCTGGGCTGCCCTGGTCAGAGGGAGTTGGGGCTTTTGTTTCAGGTGGCTCCTGATTGGGTGGGTCAAGCACCCTTGTGAGTCACTGCTAGGCAGAGGCCTATATAAGAGCCAGGCCTAGAGCGCAGCTCCCAGAGCGCAGCCAACAGAGGCAGCGAACAGACGCAGCAGTTTGCGCAGCAGTGTCTGGGCTCTGCCTGGGCCTTTTGTGGGCCTTGTTGGAAGTTGTGGAGACTTTCTGGGGACCCCCGAGGAACTAGACGGTGCTTGCTGCTAGCAGGAAGGGAGAGCTGGGCAAGGACTCCTGCAGGGGACCTTGTGGGAGTGCTGGTGGACAACAAGTTAAACATGAGCCAGCAATACAGCCTTGTGGCCGAGAAGGCCAATGGTGTCCTGGGGTGCATTAGGCAGAGTGTTGCCAGCAGGTGGAGGGAGGTGATCCTGCCCCTCTCCTCAGCCCTGGGGAGGCCTCCCCTGGCCTACTGCGTCCAGTTCTGGGCTCCCCAGGACAAGAGAGACATGGTGCTCCTGGAGAGAGTCCAGCGGAGGGCTACCAAGATGATGAGGGGACTGGAGCATCTCTCCTCTGAGGAAAGGCTACGAGAGCTGGGCCTGTTGAGCCTGGAGAAGAGAAGACTGAGGGGGAGAATCTAATCAGTGTGTCCAACGATCTAAAGGGAGAGTGTCGAGAGGATGAGGCCAGACTCTTCTCCATGGTGCCCAGG